CGCATAGCATTCTTGCCAGACCTGAAGACCACTTAACCACATTGCTTCTGAGCTCTCAATCCCATTCCTCATCTGTAGTCAATCACATTTAAAAGCCCAAAACAGGAAAAACAAAAGAATGTCCTCATTATTTCCACACCATTTCTGTTCCCTTAAGTAAGCAACTTCATACTTCCTCCACACTGATGCCCTGCCTTCGCTCTTTTTCCCCTGACTACAGGCCTGCGTAAGTAACGAGGAGCCAGAGGATGGATAAACCTTGCACTCCACCATCAAAGGTGCTGCAGGAAACAGTCGCCTGTGGCCTGGATCTTTGGCAGAGGAAACGCAGGATGGTGAACGCCATTCCATTTTTTGTTCCTTGTCTTCTTTTCAAATGCAATGAATGTACACTGAAGAACGGCCACACGGTTGGTTTTTAATTCTCCAAGTGCCCTGATGAACCATTCCTACCATAGTCTGGTGGTACTAGCCAAAACATGGCACAGGCCTGAAGACCTCAGGCACAACAAGCTCACTGAGAGCCTCTCTCAAGAGATACAGGTGAAGTCGGAGCTGCTTCCTTGCACCACGGATCCATAAAGGAGGAAGCACTGCATAACACCCTGGGACATTTCATACGTTCTGTAGTTAGTTTTTCCCCTCCTCCTTTCCCTTGTTCTGAAGAGCCTGAATCCCCTAACACAACTTTATCTCCTCCCTGCCTGTATAGAACTAGGTGGGGGCTATTTACATTTGAGTTATTTAGGCTTTTGGCGGTTTTTTAAGTTATAGATGAGAGTTTCTCCCCTGTCTGCCCATCCAGGACTCCCTTCCTCATTCTCTATTCTTTAGACATGGTCAGCACCTTAGCAGTAGGCATTTGTCCTGGATTTCAGTGCTCTGTGACCTAACTCCTATAACACTCAACAGCTAAAAAAACTAGTACAAGCACCAAATCCTCACTCAGCATGGAGCTTAGCCCCATTTCAACATGCCAAGCCATTCTCAGAGCAGCTGTAGCTGGGTTTGCCCATCTACATTAAATTAACACTGCTGTAGCCATATACACAGCTGAAGCCTGCTGCAGGACACTGAAAAGGCCTAGTTCCTCATGGATTATAGATGGGTTTGTACCTGCCTTCTTCACCAAGCAGCCACACTTCTTCCAGGCACAAGCCTGGCAACAACATCCTGATGGAAGGGGTTTTTTGTGACAGGATAATTTTGAGGGGAGGGAATGGTCTGAAGGAAAGGGGGAATATAAGTGTAATTAAGTTGCATTAATGAGCTGCAGCAATTAATTAAAAAAACAACCAAACAACAATGTCCGTTTTGTTAGCCATGTCTCCCAGCAAATTAAGTGTCAAGCAGAGAAAGAGCACTTGTCAGCCGTGCCTGGAGTTCTTTGGCTGGTTCCAAGTGCTGCTGTAATTCTTTATTGTCTTGCTTAATCTGTTTGAGATTACTCTGCATCTAAGTAATGTTTTTCAGAAGAGTCAAGCTAGAAGCCATGCCTGAGAGGGGAAGAGCAAGGGAAGAATTTAAAGAGATAAAAACATTAAGTGCTAAGTCAAAGACAGAATGATGCGCCTTTCTTTGTCCCATTCCAAAGGGCCCAGGAAGCAAAATCCTCTTCTACAAACCCAAAAGTATAAGCACTAAGAGAACATTTTTTGTTTCTGTGCAACTTTCATTCCAGATACCTACTGCAACCAAACATCTGAGTTCTGATCAGGTGCAGCTGTAAGTAAAAATGTGTTCTGTAGGTATTTTTCCTTCTTTTAGCCAATTTGATTGAGCAGAACAGACAACTCTTGGTTGCTGGTTTGATACTCATTTCATCACTTGAGGAAGAAAAAGCTCAAAACCCTCTTTAAAACAGCTCTGCCTGACAAAACATAACTACCTCCCATAACAGTCAATACTGTGCCACTGCTAAGTTAAAGTACCATAGTGGAACACAAGCTACTATACCATTTAGACCGCATGCAAACACACTCTCTTGGCACCTTCTCCACCTCTTCTTTGATTCAGTGCATTTCTGTATTACACTTCATTCCTACTTGCCTACCTGATGTTCCCTGGAGGGGCAGGAAAAGGAATGGAAGAATACACATCCTCTAGTCAATGAAAATGTTCCACAACAGATTTATTTGGGGCTTTTGAAATTAATATTCCCTTTCCTCATCAGAAAACACTGACTTTACACCTTTTGTTTTGATACGGTTTCTTTTCCTCAGAAAGAAGTGTTGCCCATCAGATACCGGTATTCTTTATTGGCCTTGTTTGACAGCAACCAAAATTCAGCACAGATGGTGGAGAAAGCACAGTTTCAGCTTTGGACAGCTGAAACACTTCACTAGTAGCCTCAGGAAGGGATTCTTCTAGACGGTAGTATGAAGTCAGAAGGAACTCTGAATTATTTTGAAGTCTGCATGTTTTTAACATTATACCTCTCAACGACCAAGCCTTGATGCCACATTTACTAATAAAACTGATCAAAAACACTTGCCAAGTACTCTAAAGAGACTAAGCATCAAACTGCGCAGTTAATAGCATGCCTCTTGACTTTAATACACACTGGTAAAGACCAATTAAATAAATGTGTGATAACTGAGTAGCTTCATAACTACCACTCTGTCTTATGATGAACACAGGTAATTAAGTACCTTTTAATAGAAGTAAAACAAATGTTCAGGTAAGCCTATAATATTTAGTATCAATGACTGCCATAAATCAAAAAAACCAAATCAGTGTGAGAAGAAAGAAAATAAGACAAGCTACCAAGGATCATATTCCACACTTAATTACCTCCTCTAGTTTTCATTAGCAGAGCCATTCATCCTTCATACTCTGACAACCCTTCCTCCTGGTCTGCTTGTGCTAGACCTCCTCTAAGTACTGCAAGGGTACGCAATGACCCTGTTCTGTGAGGGTGGGGACTCCCGGTCCTTTCCATCTCCAGGGTGCCGCCAGTAAGGAGCAGCTGAGGGTTTTGGTCCAGGGGTCCCCCCATGTCCAGGGTCGGAGTGCCCTCTGTTGGGGACAGGCACCACTGGAGATACTGCTACTCAAAAAACAACGCGTACCTGTTTCTGAAGGGACATCTTCCCATAGAAAAAAAAACAGCTCCACCCATCCAGATGGGGAAAAGCTACAATTTTCAAAGTGTTAAATCAAAGAAGCCCCAGAAACAGCTGGTATATTTACAGCCTTGTAGTCTTGATGCTCAGGCTAGGTTCCAGCCACACTGAGATGAAGTTTAGGAGGAAAAAACACTATTCCAACACTGAGCTGGTTTTGTTTTCCCTTTTCAGATTAGCACATCTACTTAAACTATAAGCTTTTCCTGTTATTTACAGAGGCAAAACAAAACCAAATTATAGCTTGAAGCCAGACACAACACCTAACTTGGCATGGTGGTGCAATTCTGTTCCCTATGAAAGCTGCTGTCTGGCAAAGACAGACCAATTCCTTCAAAAGTTGTAGAGTTTGAACGGCTCAACTAGTAATTTATCTCATCTTTGTCAAGAGCTGCATTAATATTACCTTCTTCTGAAGGCAAGGATGAAGAGATCTGCTCTGCCATGTGGCCCAGGGATAACCAACAACCTAAAGTTACTCAGAGATAAGCCTGTAACCCTGTTCAGTACCCAGGGCTGGACCCAAACAGAAGCAACTCCAGAGCCAGTGCTCCAGTCTCCACAGATGTTTATAAGAGCCACGTACCAAAACTCTGCATGGAGTTCAGATGCAGAATTATTCCCCACTTAAACAACTTCATGTATCAGGTCATTGTCTTCCTGCATCCTTACCCCTTCTTTTGCAGTTAAGAGCATCTGGAGGACCCACATGCTGTCTTGTGAATTCCAAAAGGAAGCTAATGGATGGTAAAAACAGTTGCTCCCCTCACTCATGCCCATGTAGTACTGAAGGGCAGAAGTTCAAGTGATCTACAACCTGATGCCACTCTGACATCTCGGGACATCACCACATCCCCTCCCACAGTGATGCATTATACTGGAATCAGATACTCAGACCTCCGTAAGATAAACAAAAGAAAAAATTTATTCCATGAAAAAGAACAGTTGGCTTTAAAAAACATATTTCCTTTCCCTTGTAGTTAACAAGCTATAGTATTGACAAAACTTTCTCTTTTTGGCTACATGATAGAGTGTTCCATTTAAAATAAGAATCATCGGCTTGGCCAGCAAATAGAGGTCCTAAAAGGTAAGTTTCCATAGTTATCTTCTAGTAGGATAGTACCTGAGTACTCTGTAAAAAGCTGCTAGGAGATCATCTAGTGACCCTGACCATCAAAGAGCCTTTCACCTTCTGCCTAGGGGGGGGCAGCTGAGAGTAAAGAGGTTAGAGAGTCTACTACAGGCCAGGCTTTTTGCTTAGTTGTGTGGATTTGAGTATTGAAACATACTGTCAATTGTTGGAAATTCAACAAGGGGGGTGGGGGTGGCGGAGGGGAGACAGCAACGAGCTCAAAATAAAAAGCTAGATTCTCCCTCCCCCACAATACATTGCTGCTGAGTATTCTAGTCTCAACGGAATGCATTTTGTATAAAACTACTCCCATTTTGACTCAGACTTACTGGAGGAAGCCATCAACCCTAGCAGAACCATCTCTAAACAACTGCTAAATGAGTGAAAGAGAACCAGAGACAGTCTACTGAAAACAGCCTTTGGTTTCAACACAGAGCATGGATTCATTTGAGAATGCAAGAATTTGGAGAAGGAAAATCTTTGTCAACAAAGGCCTCTCTCTGGAGGACAAAAGAAACCAGAAGAGTTTTTCTGGAGCAGTCCTACAGCAAGGTCAGCAAGAGTACAGCAACTCTTACGAGAAACACTGTGCACAGGAGGCACATTTAATAAGTTTTTACTGTTATGCCAAGCTACTCTGCAAATAAGATTGCTCCAGAATCAAACTATTCACTTATTTTCTTCCTCTGCTGTGTTACAAATGAGTTGTATAGACTTATCTTTCGCCTTAGGCACATCATGGTTCAGGACATGAAAGTCCTCACGCTTCCCCGGATGACCGCTCTGCAGATAGGACACAATCGCAAATTGAGGGCACATTCCCCACAAGCTACCAGGTGGCCACAAGGAACAAACACAACAGACACATCTCTGTCCATGCACACTTTGCACATCCTTTCCTCTTGCAGGTGTCGGAGCTGTTCTTCTGTGCTCATCTGAGACTCATCTTTACCAAAAAAGGAAAAAAAAAAAAGGCCCAAACTGTTAGTATTATAACAGCTCCAGAGTGCCAGTCCTGTCATCTTAGGAAGTCACACTCAAACTTGCTCATCATTTTGTTCAGACTGTGAAGATGACAAAAGTACTTCTCGGGCAAATTTAAACTGAAAAGCTACAGCTATTTTAGACTCTGGCTTTTCTACACAAGATGCAGCATATCTACACATGCCATATTGAGCAGGGACAGAGATCAACGTCTCTTTACTGTAAAATGTAAATTACCCTGATAAACTGAATTTTTTATATAACAGTCAGCTTCATGGCGGAACTCTCAATTCCTGAATAAGGGTCTCTATGTTCAGTTACCATTCAAGAGAGCATACATTCCCCTTTAGGATTAAAAAGAAGAACTAATACAATGACCACCAATACCATTACTATAAAAATAATTCCAATTATGCCTAGGCTCAATTTCACCACCACTGTCAGCCCAGTGCACCTGATTCCTTTAGTTGCACAGATTGCATTTCTTCTCTTGAACTTGATGTTTCGGTTTCTCTCTGAACAGCATCTGTATAACCAGGAAAGAAGATGGCATTAAATGCTACCCCTTTCCTCCCTCTTCAGACAGTGCTGTTTAAAAAGATGAAATAAGCTGGATTTTAGTAGCCTTAGGTTAAACACCTCTTTATTCTGCTGTTTAACTTCACACACACAGCCTGGTAAAGCTGATGCTCTCTGTGGTGCTTCAGTTGCTATGTACATTAACCTCCCTACCAAGACATGTCCACATCACATTGTCTCCTCAGCAAAGCCGGTTTATCTATCAGACAGCAGGAGCCATCAGCTGCTTATTCCTGCTCCTGTGATAGTATTTAATCAGACTTCTCGTTCTGTGGAGATTTTTGTTTTGGCTTAGCTAAAGAAATGGCAGACCGTGATATGGAGATAGGAGCTTTGGAAAGCAGGCTTGCTACCAGAGAAAGCCTGTGTGAAACTGTTTCTTCGAATAAACTTCACTCGTCAAACAGACTCCACAAAACAGATGACACAAGACAGACATAGATAAGTAAGGAGACTATATATTATCCAAACAAGAAATATGGCTATTTCTGATCAAGTCATTGATTCCATTTTAAATAGGCTTGGAGTACTCATCCATCCTAGAAGCCTTGCTTCAGACAACAGCCTCTGTCTGAATTTGTGCACAAGCCTCTACATCGTGGAGTTGTCTGCTACTGCAGGTCTAAGGGCAGCAGAAAAACAAACAAAAAAATCAAGGCTATCTACACCATAGCCTGTTGGAAGCAGATATAGTTACTGATACCCCAGTAATCACAGCTCCTTCAGGTTTCTTTAAAGCAGAACCTCATTCTTTAGCCTCTCAAAGAAAGGCAGGCTTGGGTACATTACTACTCTTAATTCCAGCCTAGGAAGAGAGAAGGCAGACCCACAAGACACTCACAGCAGTGCTCAAGATGATGAATAAGAGGTTGAACACCCACCAAGAATGTGGGTGGGTGAGCCAGGCGTACCTCCTCTTTCCTCTGCCCTGCTGCTCTCTTCCCAGTCTGGCTGAAGCAGATCAGAAATCAGTTCAGACTCAGAAAGGTAGAAAGTCCCAGTCAGCACGTATTTATTCTCTACCAGGTTAGTCACCCCGGTGGGGTCAAAGCCCATCTGCAGGACATTCTGCACTATGGTAAACTGATCCAGAGAAGGAAGAGCCTGCAATTCCCAATTTCTCAGAGGATCTGTAAAGCAGCAAGCAGATACTTTACCAAAAAAGGTGGAACTTTGGGCAAAAGAGTATGCCACTCCCCAAAGCTGTTTATATATAAAATGACATTAACATAGTCTAGAACATTCCTCAAGCTACCTATATAGCTTGATCAACATCCAGATTTACTGTTCTTACTTCCAATCATAATTCACAAGAGTCACCAAAAGCAACTTCATAAAAAGCTAAGAGACTAATTTTGGATAGTTATTCTATTGTATCAGTGAACCAAGTCTCCCATGTTTGGCCCCAGACCAGAATCCTTATCTTTGTTTTCACATCCCAGAACAGAAGTCTTGAAATTGCTTTCATGAAGATGAATCCCAATTGAAGTCTCTCCTACCTCATAATCTAGCTCAACCATTCATCAGTAAATTTCCCACAGAAGTGGGAAATTCAGCTGGCAGACCATTCAAAGGCTTAAAGTCTTCCTTAAGCTCATCCTATCACATAGGCTTTTCAAGAGAAAAAGAAAAAGCAGTTGTCCACAGTTATGGGAGCCAAGTTTCACCTACTTAAATTTCCAGGAGCAACTGATCAATGGGAATAATCCCCAGAATTAACATTTTCATGAACAACTAGACCCTCTAGCTGTTCTTTGGTCTCCTATCAAACATGTTTTAAAGTGTCAGTGTGAAAGACTCTACAGACAGACAACAACATAAGACCACGCATAAGTCAAAAGAATGTTAGACAAGCATCCAAAAGTCACATGATTATCCAAACTAGCTAAATGTTTCTGGTCTTGGACTAAGAGGTCTCACAAGAGTAAGCAATTTTGCTTCTTGTGCTATAGACCATTTCCTAAAAATAAAATGAAACAGCTTCTAGAACATCAAAACATCTCTCAAACACCATGTCTACAGAGTGCAGAGTAGCTGGGGTGGGGCAGAAGAAGTAGTACTACACCACTTTCAATGGAAGACAAGACACCACGTAATTATAGCACTGACCTTGGGAAGAAGAGGAATCTTGTTCAGTCTCATCCCAGGATTCTCTCTGAAAATGTCAGAAGACAGTCATAAAATGAGAAGCATGTGTTCAAAACTGCCCCACCTACCAAACCTCCATCCACTATACACAAAATACTCATGACTCACTGGAGATAGCAGAGTGCTAGAAAAGGACTCCTGAACACTGCCAACAAATTCTCTCCCCCTTGACCGCAATAAAAACTCACACCTAGAAGCAGAAAGAATTAAATACATTAGTACAGAATTTCTCAAGTGAAAGTAGCACTAGTAGTTTGAATTTTAGAAGCAAAGGGTTATGAGCAAACTGCTACATTCATTAAAGATGGAGTATCATGGGGGTTTTCCCCCTCCTCCTTGCATGAAGGGCGACAGTAAGAGGCTCACAATCCCTGCCCTTAATTCAGTCTTCATGTTTGGCCCAAGATGAGCTCAGTTGCAATGTCCTTCGGAACAGACCACAGAAAATGTGATAATAGACCAGTCACAGAAAAATACAGTAACTACTACAGAAAAACAAAGTTTACACTATCTTTCTTTTTGTACCTCAGAGTAGTAGAAACCAAAGCTGTTCTCTGACAGAGAAAGTGATTTTAATTGAACTTTTAGATGGTAAACTCTGGGTCAAATTGGAAAAATCTCAGGTCTGAACTGTGCCATTCTACCTAAGCTTGAACATTTGATTTTGCTTTTAAAGTGAGAGCATCTAAGTATTTAGGCTCTGTCACTTGTATTTGTACAGTTCTTTTTAAAAAAAACTAGTTACAGCTTAGACAACCATCATCCAGTAGGTTGCATCCTTGACACAGAACACTCCAGTTCTGTCCAGAACACAGTCAGCCTTTGGAATAGATGAGGCAATGCCTGAGAAGAAGCCTAAAGGGACTGAAGCTGACTGTCCCGGAGTCAGCAAACCATGGCGCCTTCCTGTGCAACTTTGACCTTGAGGATTCAGAACCTTTCTCTTGATTTCAGGGATTTCCAGAAGGTTACAGACTATTGCAACAGTTTATGCAGTTAAACGTGATTGAAGATACCTGACTAGCTTTTCACTTGTTCTAGCTAGGCAGAAAAATCTAGAACAAAGCTATTAAAAGCACCCAGAAGCAGTGCTTATTACCAGTACACCGACGACTCATTTATCTCTCAACTGGGGATACTTCTATATTATGAAAGAAGAAATCAGTGCAGAATGCGTGGCATATCTTTCGGTCTTACTACGAGGGATATGTGTTAACCAAGACTGACTTACCCTGGATACCATTTGGCATGTTCCCTCCAAGGATCATCTCCGAACGACCAGTTCCTCACACCTCCATCACAGTAAAAACACCTCACTACATCACCTTGTCCTGAAAAAGACATCAAGAGATTATTTGATGTCTGAGACACTGTATGCTCTACTAGCCCCAGATGAGACCCTGGGGAGAGATTCAGCACAAAACACAGGCTACCAGCCAGAACAGATAACCACATGACAATTTACCAATGCTGTGCAAGTTGTATAGGGGCAGGAAATCTGATGAGAGTTTGAACGCCCAGAGCTTTAGCTGGCTGAGATGATTCCAGAACTGGGTCACAAGCTAACAGGCAGCATGCATGTGAGCACCATAGCTCCCACGTACACACATACCTATCCAATCCCCTCTTGTCTGCATTTAGACTAGAGCTGTAATTAATTATACCTATAAACATACTTTATTTCCTAACCACAGTCTACCATAACCAGCAGCAGGCACAGTCAGACGATGTACACACCTTCCACCTCATAAGAATGCGCCACAACATGGTTCCAGGCTACTCATCCTGCTACTGTGCTTCTCTTTACAGAAGCCACAGGGGAAAAAAAAAATTAACGCCAAACACAGTTAAGAACTGCCTACAAATGCCCTGCCCTAAAGGCAACAAAACCACGTCAGTAAAGGCTGTCAGTGAGGTTGGGTCACAGACATGATCTTCCAAACAATCCCGTGTTAGAACACCCTTTGGCTTAACCCAAGTGCTCAATTCCAGAGTTTTCTTGCCCAAGTGACGGCAGGGGAATGTCATGTCAGACTGCTGCTGCCTCACGAGTTCCCAGAGTAAGTCTATGTGCTGGGCTCTCCAGCAGCTGCTCCGCAAGTGAGCAATCCAGTCCAACACAAGACATGCAGGTTTTTAGCTGCGGACACTGCTGTACAGTTTATTCTGCGTTCCTGGCCATGCTGGCCTTTTGTGTGTGCCTTAAATTAATAAAAATAGAAGAGCAGCAGATAAGCTAATATGCCTATAATGCTCTTCCATTTCAGCATGCATTTAGGCCCTGCTACTGTGCTCCAAGTAGACAGGTACAGATTCTTAGTATTAACTGGATTTATAGCAAGATCCAGGCCATGCAGTTTGAGTGAAAAACTTGCGGAAGTAGAAAGACATGCTAGCAAACGATCCAGTCACTTCCTCTAACTCAAGCTAAAAGAACAGAAGGTCAGTTATTTAGAGACTTCCCTGTGTGCATGTCATTTACCAAATTTTTCTAGCTATCACAACATTTAAGCTGTTTCTTCCCATCTTTACCAACAAATTGTACTTAAATAAGTGGAGAAAGAGGTGTTCAGGTGAAAGAAAGGTGTTCAGTGGAGAAAGAGGTGGAGAAGTGAGGTGTTCAGGTTGTGCAGGTTTGTTTCTGCTGAGGGACCTTTAGTTGACAGACCCTGCCTCTTACTTCCTTCCATGCCTTAGTTTGATGTGCAAATACAAAGTGAATAGATTGCTTCATATAGAAGTCACACTTGTAACACACAGAAATATCACTACATTATTAGCTTTCAAAAAAACCCAGAAGAATCCCCCCCAATATTTAATTACAGTCAAGCATTAACACACTGTAAATATTTCCTCTGGTCAATCCAAGGAGGAGTACTTCTTCAAATCTAGTATCGAACCAGCAAAGCCCTCTCAAGGGGAAACAATGATGTTATATTGATATTCACATGCATATAACAACAAATACTGCCTATTTTCCTAAAAAGAAAAAAAAGCATCTCTTATTTCTGTGCTACAAGTCCAGGGTCCTTAAGCAAAAAGCCACAGCAACAGCCAAAGGGGCTGACTACCGACAGGTTTCACTCAGATTTGTTTTTTTGAGAAGAGAAGGCTTCAGTGCAAGACGGAGCTTACGCAAAACACGACATGCCAAGTAAGTGCCTCAAGTCCTTTTAGAAGTGCAAGTAATAAATAGGCTCAATGGACCTTAAAACACACACTTTTCTGCCAGTAAAACATCTGTTTAAAGTGTGTCACTTTTTCCACTCCTGCTGGTAAGGGAATTGGCTTACTAGCAGACCCCTCAGTACCCAAACAGGAGTTAACATCGAAGGGAATTCTGCACAAGCAGCAAGTGAAACAGCAGAGGCTGAAGGAAGGATGTGGTTTCTAACTAGAGTAGACACACTTGCAGGGATTCATACAAGCAATAAAACATAGCGACACCTTCAAAAGTTAACATGAATAAGAGTTAAAAACATTTCCCCAGAGTACCTACCTGTGTAAAAGAATCCTGCTCTAGCCAGTTGCTCAGGACGCATGTCAGTATATTGCGGCCAGTTCTGAAACGTAGATAGTCTCATCTCCTCTGTTACCATCTCTGGGTACTCTGGTTCGTTGGGCAGGGCTGTCTCCTCACTTTCTATCCCCTGCAAAAGGCTGAGGAACTGCCCATCCACAGTGTCAAAGATTTCCTGAAGAGGAAGCATCTCTTGGTTCCCAACATCCTCACCACAAATGAATTTACAGGAAGGGAAGAACTTCAGGTGCTCTGCTATCGGGCAATCACCAGGTCTCCAGTCCTTCAGGACACCACCACAGCAGAAACACTGTACTTCATCTCTCGGACCCACAAAGAAAAAGCCAGCCTTGACCAAGTCTCGGGCAGATACAGGTGAGGTGCCCGGCCACTGCTGAAAAGTCCTCAGCCTTCTTGCTTCATTCCTCATGCGGGATTCAAACAGCTGGCAGCGAGCAGCCCTGAGCTCAGTCTCCTCTGCTGGTGTCACGTCCCCCATGTTCTTGTTCTGAAAGAGAGGGTGAGATAACCCAGAGCAGTCAGCTGGATTCCTGGCGTCAGGCAGCACTCACCCTGCGTTATTTGTTCCTCATCCCCATGCATATTCCGGAAAGCTCCTGGTCTTGACAAAGCTGAGCTTGTTTCAGAATTGCAGCCCAATCAGAGATCTGGTGCTTCTGTACTTTGCTGTTGAACTTTTGCTGAGTCCTCACTAGTGTCTGAAGGGAAGAGACCAGCACTTTCTGAGCCCCTCTGCCAATTTCCAGGAGAGATGCTGGTGGGAACAGATAGCGGAGTGGGAGGGCAAAACCTGTGCTGCCTCCTTAGCTGAGCCAGGGCAGCTTTCGGCATCCACTCTGTGTGATAAATCCCCAGTCATTTTGCTCAGCCTTTAACTTAACATTAAAAAGGCTCTGCTTCCACCCCGTCTCCCCCTCAAAAAAACCCAACAGATTTAAGAAAGCATGCCATAACAAAGCAGAGAACAACCACACCCAAACAAGTAGTGTCTCATAACATTCAGTTTACAGCCAAACACTACGCAGAATATCAGTAGATTTTTCATAACCTTACCATGCTAATTAAACAGTGAATATATAGAAATATCTCCATAAAAGAGAACTTCTTCAGGACACAGTCTAAAATAATTAGGTCTCCTTTCTATAAGAGGGTGTCCTTACATCAAAGATAAGACATTTTCTGCCTGTGCTAGTTCTGTGCAAGAGGAAGAGTGAAATTAAAGAAGCTACCAAGTGCTTAATTATCCAAGCCCTCATCCTACTTAAGGTAATAGCCCTTCCCTGCACGAGTAAGCTAAATTGCAACTCAGCTACTGCTTCTAATACTTTCTGTACCGCTCGCAAACACAGTTTCAAAAGGTCATACAGTTACACAACTGAGAATCGGGATGAATTTAACTGCGAAAGAACTCCTTTGGAGTGAAGTCACTACACATGCGACTTAGTGGTAACTGCAATCAAATCTTTTTTTAAGTAAGTGCCCTGAAAATCCCTTCACCACCAAACTCAATAGGTCAGTTCATCCCAAGGAAGTGCTAACTATTTACTGGTTATCAGAGCTAAGCATTATAAGCACACAGACCCAAAACATCACACAGGCAAATATTAAATTAGGAAAACAATGTATATACACACATACATTTGAAAAGACATGGTGTTTCAAAGCTGGTACACCACATTACTAAGGTAATAGATAACTATCGCAGTACATCTTTTTGAAGGAGTACACTGTAAAAAACAATCAAGTGGAGACCACCTGTATAGCAGCTACTCTGCAGGAAACACATTCGCAGAGACAGTTCAAAGGCACTCAGGCCAGGGGCATCTCTGAAGCACTACTCCTCTTAGTTAAGTGCTGCAGTACATTCAGGGGGAAAAAAAAAAAAAAAAAAAAACAAACACACAACTTACAGGGCATTTTAGTTGCAAGACCTGTAGCCAGAGTTAACAAATCCATCCTTCATAGGTATTACATGTTTACTGAGATTTCAGAAGCAAAAGCAAGCTTGCTCAACCCCATGCCTCTGACAGTAAGAGGTAGCAAGGAAGAGAAACTTCATCAGCAACTACAATTTTCTGCTATAATCATAATCACAGAAGTCAGAGGGGAAAAAATAATCACAGAAACTTGTAAGAAAAGGCAGCTCTAAAAGTTTGTTTAGAAACTCTGATTTAATACAATAAAGTAGTTAAGAACTATGTCACTACTATAAAGAAAAATCCATACAGAAAGAAAAAACTCATTAGCCACTGATACACAGCAGAACTTGCAAGCTAAGCAAACTTACGAGCATGCAATTTTTTAGCCCGCACGGCAAGTTTTGCTCTCAGAACACAGAGAGGCAACAGAGAGACTTGTTCATCAGGGACAGCTCCACAATATCAGTGTTGCTCTCATCTTGGGCCCTAACAAAACAAGAGCTATTATTCTTACACTATGACAAATATTGTTTTCCACCTAGAAGGTGAGTTATCTTAGCCTGCTTCCACATAGGAAGTACAGATCACAGCAAACTTCACAGCAAAACACAAAGAAAGAAGTTTTTCTACCCAAAAGCTTAACAGCTGAATCAAAATTTTTTAAAATAAAGAGATGCAACATAGGACAACAAATATATTTATCTTTTGTTTATGAAGAAACTCATTATGGTTTATCTGCATTAGAGATATTTATATGCTCTGCAGAAGATCTATTAACTTGGCTAACAAGGCTCTCCCAAACAAACTGGTATTTTAAATAGTTACAACTCCACTAAAAACCATTCTCCCACAATTCACTACTTACACCTGCATAGTAATGCACTTCCAAAGCAAGATCACAGCTAATATCAACAACTCCCTACAAGTAGCACACTAAAAACTGAAAAGAGAAAGAAAATTACCTGTAACATGCTAAAAAAACAACAAAACCCAAAACACTTCCAAGAACTAAGACTCTCCCAGCCCACAAGCTTCAAGCTACCCTCTCCTCTTCTAGGCAATGCAGAGGTCTTCCTCAAAGAAGCAGGAACCCTTCCAAGGCATAAGTGATCCCACCTGACAGAGGCCATTTCTAATGCCTCGTTTTCCCCAATTGGTTGGTTTTGTGCTGAAATTCTCTATCAACACAAATGTCACCAGGGAAAGGTACAAAGTTAAGTTTGAGTTACCCCCAGAGAGTAACTGTTTGGGCCCCTGAAAAATAATAACTAAGCCTTGTAATTTTGTTAAAACCTAGCATAGTGCTAGTCATAATATCTTGACTCCTATGACATGATTGCAGTCCTCCTGTTTTGTTATAGTACCTTTGCTCCTGCATCCATGATTTTTTTCTTTAATTTCTATTGATATAGTAACAGAGATGAACATAATCATGTTCTAAAAGAAGACTGTCCAGATGTAAGTGATGACATGTCAAATATGCTGGAGTATTTCATACAGGGGTGTGACAACACTTTCTTATGAAGAGGGTGAGAGCCCTCTAGGCTCTTCATTGTTATTATAGGCTGTGGCTCTATAATAATGGTGTTTCTGTGTCTTTTTCAACTTGCTCTCACACATGTGGTTTGCACCTTACAATTTTTAAGAAAATGCACTATAAAATTAACAGATAGATAGCAACAAGAATTTACTCAAGATAGCTGAAATAGATTGCATTGCCTTTACTTTGGGAATAAACACTCTTGCTACCATTGCATCTTCACAATTTGAAATCTTTCCATTCATTTGCCTTCCCGTGGTCACAATCCAGAATGAAGGATTTTAAGGCTAGTTTAAAGGGTGTAATTACTTGAAAATGCGTTTTCCTTTCCTACTTTTCTGCCTGAGAAGATGCATGCAGCTTATTCTAAACTATGTGCTTGCCAAAACACAAGTTCTTCATGTTAACGTAAGACCATGGGTGTTTTATGTTTGTAAGAAATGGTAAATTAGGATTTTGCTTTTAAGAAAACAGATCCAGGGTCCTTATCTTACAGGCAAGCGTATACAAACATTTTAATTAAAAAGAAGTGTTGAAACTCTTTTTTTTTTTAAATTAAGTACGTGTTTCTGAAAATCCCTGAGCAGCAGAGGGCAGTGCTTATATACGAAATTTACAGAATCTTGTAACAAGCGAATGCAGTTCTCTTTTTTTTTTTGTCCATAATGAATTTATATGTAATTGCACATTCTCTTCTGTTTGACAGATCCTGTTCTTTGTAAGTCTATATTGATTTTTGAAGAATGTATCCTAAAAATATAAGATACAGAGTTAACAAAATTCCTCTTACAGAGGCTGTTTGGGGACTCTGCTGATGGGTTGTAGTGAATCACCTGTTAATAGATAAGAATGATCGATAGTTCTGATCTAAGAAGCATTTTACAAGCAATGACCTCATCTTGTACTGCTTGTAACCACCTTGCTTCTCCAGTGTGATCTTGGGAGGTGCTGGGAACACGGTAAGCTCCTTGATTTGCCTTCTGCGCAGCCGTGCCTTGGCCTCACCAGCAATCTGCAGGCAGCTCTCAGGGATGCTTTAAATGCTTTAAAAAATCTGCCGACGGCACCGGGCAGCACTGATGCACCACAGCGTTGTGGTAAAGGTGTACTCAATTGCCGAGCCTGCGCAACTCCACTTTTCTACGGGAGGTGACTGTTAAAGAGGGAAAAACTGTATAAAAGCTCAGAGGAGCTGAAAGGCAGCTTCTAAGTTAATTTACAACATTTGACTGATTTTAGCAGTGATTATTAGGGGGTTTTTTGTTTACATAACATTCTTGCACCATGCAAGCTTCTAGACAGGTTTAGGGTTGGTTTTCTGTGAGGAAACACTCATGTGATTTTGGGGGAACACTTCACCAACAAAGGACAGCTTAGAAGGACTAGTGAGATGAATGTAGCAGAAGATGAAGTGATGCCGAGTCTGGTGCTGAGAGCAATTAAAAATAAGTCACCATGGATAAATGATGGGGTTTTATTTTAGCACACCAATATTTTGAAAGTGTTGTATGCAACTAATATGGATCTTTTTTAGCAATTCATATACATTTTTAGTTCCTTTTCAGAGAATTAAGATATCCTACTGAACTTCTGAATGCTTCTTAACATGAGGAGTGTAATGCACTGATGACAGACAAATGTGGGAACCAGTAAGCAGCAACCAGGAGTCCAGGAGGGGTCAGTGATAATGATCAATGGCACCATCATGCTGCCCCTGTATGAGAAATGTAGCAACTTCTACATTGCTGAGCTCATTCCAACTGGAAAGCAGTACTAGATAGTGATTTGAAACACCCTAAGAAGAAAGAAATGTAAACATAATTAATCAAAAATATGTTTGCTAATATCAGCCCGATTTGGAAGGAAAGCAATCAATAAATATGAGAGCCAGAGTATAGCTGGGGACAGCATGATAAAGAGCTCAAAAGGGCTGAAGTGACTGGAGTCCCTGGAAAAACACCAGCAGAGTTCAGCATCTCTAACCTTGTGGTTCTACACAGCTGCAAGGGGAAGAAGCTG